AAACACAACAAAATAAAAACAGACAATCATAAACCAGAGCCATCCTGCTGAGGAAGAGGAGGGAGAGGGATCAGAGGGAGGGAGAGAGAGCACAGTGGACTGAGATATTGGTGCACGGGTGCATTGGTGAAGGAAATTCTATGGGACTACACCTGAGTGTGTGTGTGTGGGAAGCAAATATTGTTTAAAAATTAACAATGGGGCCTCCCTGGTGGCGCAGGAGGTTGAGCACCGCTCTTTGAAGCTGTCCCATAGCCTCTGTGGCGCAGGTTCGATCCCGGCTGGCCATGGAGACACCCACATGGTATGGCAGACCTCTTCTGTCTCGCCCACTGCTCCCCTCAGCAGTGTATTTCGGTCCGTCTGCCTGTTCTGTTCCCCAATCTGTCTCTGGTGAATCCTCTCACCCTCCTGCACCTCTGGCCTGTACCCCGTTCTTGTGTGCACAAATAAATAAATGCTAAAAAAATCTTTAAAAAAATAAAAATGAACAATGATGTTAAAAATATATAAATAAAAGGAAAATTAAAAAAATATATATAAATAAATAAATTTTTAAAGCTACATTTTATTAAGTTATATTTTTAAATGATAAACAAAATTAGTTGAGGTTAGGGACTTTGCCCAAGGTCACAGTGAATAAGCTGCCAACTTAGACCTAAAGGGGAACAAAACAAGGACATATTTCAACAGATATTAAATTGAATGAAAAATGTCTCTATCCAGGAGCTCACGTGGCCCAATCCTTGCCCATTAAATAAGCCCTTAAAGCAAGCAGTTTCTCTCTCACATTGCTGGTAGAAATACAAGCTGGTCTGACACTTCTGGGAGGGAATTTGGCATTACTTAACAAAATTTCATATTCACTTACCTTTAAATCCAGTAATCTCATGTCTAGGAATTTATTCAGAAGGTACACCTCAAACAATATTAAAATACATATGTGCATGTTTATTTATGGCAACATTACTTTCATAGGCAAGATATTGGAAACAACTCAAATGCCTACACATTAGAGGCTACTTGAATAATACAGCGCATCCATATATTAAACAAACTCTCCTCCATCCATATACTGGACACTGCAGCCATAAAAGAAAGAAAAATGATACTGATATGAAAGTGAAGTGATATGGAATGACATTGTGGACCCATTTTTAAATGAAAAAAGAAAATTATAAAATGTGTTCTCTAGTGTTTTTGTGCTTTATATAAGAAAGAAGGGGATATGAGAAATAAATCATGGATCTACTTTGTGAAGAAATACAGGAAGGGATAAATCAGAAGAAATGGGTGACTTGGATGGGTAGAAGCTGATGAGAAGAAAATAATGGGGTGGTAGGAGTAGGGGATAGGGGTGATACTTCTCTGACTATACTTTGGATTAGCTGATTTTTCAACTACAGTGAGGTTCCCATAATCACAGAGTAATTAAATAATTAAAACCAACTACTAGGTAGCAGGAAGGGGAACTAAATGGAAAACAAATAGCAACAAATGAGCCCATTGCATCATAAAGCAATTAATAAGCAGGTTGAGGGAGATGGGGAAGAACTGAACCACCCTAAATGGCAGGGAAGAGCAGTATTTTGGCTGCACAGTGCACCCTTGAACAACGCAGGTTGGAACTGCCTGGATTCAAGCAGGTGACAATCCCACCTGGGGCACGATGGATATGATGCTGTGGGACCAGCGCCAGACCTTGAGGAAGAAGATGTGGGAGCACAGGCAGATGAGAAATTGACATTAAATAAACTGGCAGAAGGGTTTCCATTATTCCAGACTCTTTGTTTATTTTATGCCATGGAGCCTTCTCTGTTCTGCCCTCTGAAACTACAGCAAATGGTAGAAGGACTGGTCCATATAGAAACATTTTAGATGCATGAAAAAGAAAAGTCAGACAGAAATTATTGATAGGTATTCTTTCTTTTTTTTTTTCAAGACAAAATTTCCTGCCTAGAAGCTTGAAGTGCTGAATAAGAAAACAACTAAATTCAATACTTGGTCCTTGATGGTTTACTAGATAATTTTCAAAAAAGAAAAGAAAGAAATGGCAATGTATTTCTATAAAGTCACACCAAATTTGCTGCCTTTCCTGTGTTCCCATCTGCCCCATCCACTTCTCCCCTGCACACCTGATATGAGACCAACCCTCCTCTTCCACGTCCTCCTTCTTAATCAAAGCAGTGATATTTGTGGACGTGGGAACTACCTTTCATTTAGTTGACTTTATCAACAATCATCACAAAATAGAATCATGTTGATGCAAAATAAGCCCTCTTCCTACTTGGGGAAAAAATTCAATGAACATTAGAATCATGTAGAACCATCCATTGGTTGCAGAGATTTACAGACTCACTGCAATTGAAAATTGCCTGTAGTGGCAGTGGCGCTTTACCCTGCTATTCTAGCTTTGCCAGGCCCAGCAATCAGGCCTGGTTTCCACCCATCACAAAGCAAAAGAAAGCAAAAATCATCAGGGGTCAAAAGACCTAAATTGGATTACAGTCACACCATTTAGAAAACAAGGTTTTACTGGTAACTGCATTAAGCTGAATAAAAATTCTTACATTAGCTTATGGTCCATTAGTATTCTGACGGTGATTATTTTTACATAAATGTGTCAGCCTCTAAATAAATGGGAAAAAGGGTGGAAAGGCCTGCGGTTTCAAGATGAAATGAATATTCTGCTCAGTAAGCCAGAGTTTTGGGCATGAAGACGGGACGATGGGTGAAATTGAAATTATACAGAGATGTGTTTAATGTTATTTCTCTGCAAAGTTATTTATGAGACCATAAACTTATGGTTTTCAAACTTCCTGGTATGCATCAGTGTCAGGGGCCAGAAATAAGATGTTGGGGCCCTATATCAGACATTTTGGATCAGAATTTCTGGGATGGGACACACTTCCCAAATATTCCAGTCAACAAACAGTTTGAGGAATCCTGTTCTAAGTACTCACTAGCCTTACTCAAAGCTATCAGTGATGATTGAGGAAAACTTCTACTACTGGCAATGACCACAGATCATCCACTCAGGGTCACAGGCTAAATCAGGTCACTACCTTTTTTTGCACAAAAATGTTTATTAATGGGTATCTCTGGTGGTGAAAGGGGATGGGCACTGCAGTATGAAACAATCTGAAGCCTCTGCAGCATGAGTTTGATCCCCCAGCCGGCCAAGGGGCAATCCACATGGCGAGGCAGACCTCTCCTGTCTCACCTGCTGCTCCCCTCAGCAGTGTATTTCAGTCAGTCTGCCTGTTCTGTTCCCCACTCTGTCTCTGGTGAATCCTTCACCCCCCGCATCCCTGGCCTATACCCCAGCTCTTGTATGTATAAATAGATGAATCTTTAAAAAAAAAAGTTTTATTAGAACACATCCATGCCCATTCATATGTCAATTATCCATGACTACCTTCTTGCTAAAATGGCAGAATGAGCTATTGTGGCACAGACCACATGGCCAGCAAAGCCTAAAATATTTGCTTCCCCCTTTATAGAAAAAGTTGGCCAAATGGTGTGAACACATGCCAGGAACTGAGGGTAAGCTAAGAAATAGGCTAATAGAGCAGTTAACTACTAATAAAATGTCAGCTCCTCTGGGATCTTTTTTTCTAAGTGATCCAGAGTAGATATACTTTTTTTTTTCCAGCTTTATTGAAAATATAATTGATAGATACTATTGAGTAAATTTAAGGTGTACAGGCTGATGATTTGACATAAATATATATGTATATTAGGAAATGATTGCCACATTAAGGTGAGTTAACACTTCATCACCTGACATAATTACCATTTTTGTCTGTGGTGAAGACATTTAAAACGTACTTCTTGGCAACTCTCAAGAATATGAACCAGTATTTTCAATCGTCACCACACTGCACATTAGTTCCCCAGAATCCTATAAATTTCTGCCCTTGGACCAACATCTCCCCATCTCCTGCACACCCCTGCCTCTGGGCACCCCCACTCCTCTGGTTTTAGGAATTCAACTTGTCTTGAATTCCATATTTTAGTGAGATTACAGAGTATTTGGTCTTCTCTGTCTGATTTAGTACAATACCCTCATGATTCCATTTTTTAGCAAATGGTAGGATTTCTTTCTTTTTCATGGTTGAACAATATTCTATTCTATGTATTCATATATATGTCTACATATGTACATATGTGCACATGGTTCGATTAGAACCACTGGTAGATTTCTAGATTCCCTAAATAAATTGAGAATAAATACACATATGTGTGTAAACACATTTACTTAATCCATTCACCCTTTGATAGACTCAGGATAGTTCCTTTTCTTAGCTATTGTGATTAATGGTTAATGAACAACACATAGCTCGTTGGGACATGCATTTCATTTCCTTGGGACGTCTACTCAGAAGTGGAATGCCTGGATCATGTGGTATTTCTATTTTTTCATTTTTCGAGTGACCTCCTTAGCCACTTTTCCATAGTGCTAGCACAGGAATGAAACATTTGCCTCTCTTTTGTTGCCCCACCAGATAAACATTTATCTCTTTTTGTCCCACCAGATAAGCTCTCCTATTTCCTTTATTTACCCTCTAGACTTAACAACCTTGTTTTCTTACATTCCAAGGAAAAAGAACCTGCTGAGAGCTGACCATCAGGTGATAGCAGAGCAAGCTAGACGCCAACCTAGATCTCCCCCCAAATCTCAACACTTCTGTCCCAAGAATGAGGGGCTGACCTTTGCTCTTGCTCTTACCCTACCTTCACTCCCTTGTAACTCTGGGTAAATACGCCAGCATGCCGTCAAAAAGCAGGACAGGAAGGTGGCCTTTCATACATGAATCTGTTGCCCTTCTCAATTTCTCAACAAATTAAACTATTTTCCTTCTCCCCAAACTCTATTCCATTTTTTGGCTAAGGGAACAGAGGCTGGCATTAGGGATCAGTAGGACACCAAACTTCCTTGGATTCTAATCTCAGTTCCACCATGTACCAGAAAGTCTTAACCTTCCTGAGCTTTTGTTTTCTTTATTTATAAAAATGAGATGGATTAAGCTGAATAAAATTATATATAAAGGAAAGGCATTGAAGTCTTTATAGTAGGTATAAAGAAGAGAGATGAATAAGTCATGGTTTCTGTCCTCTGGTTACTCAAACTTGATCTCTAAGTTCTATTTTATGTGTAGCTTGAGAAGTTATATGGAGCTGGGCCTCTCCTGGTGGCGCATGGCGCAGCGGTTGAGTGCTGGGCTACCAGGCTGCCCGCAGCCTCTGCAGCACCGGTTCATTCCATGGCCGCAGGTGAAGGTCCTACAAAAAAAAAAAAAAAAAAAAGAAGTTGTATGGAGCAGTTATGATTGTGGTTTTGGAGTTAGATCTAGGGCACCGTTTAAAATCTGGTCTGTCACTAATAACAGTATAATCTTGAGAGAGTTCTTACTGGTCTTTATTCAGGAAATGAATATAGTATGTGCTCCAAAGTGGCAAAGTGAGGTTAAATTTAGACAATACATTAGACAATACATTTGTGCAGGACTATAATGAAACATCAGTACTAGCATTATTCAAATTCTAGCATTTTTTAACCAGTGTAGACACCACTGGTTGGAACTGGATGATAATTCTTTGTACAAATCTTTCCAGATCCTATAGAATCCCACCCATCAAATATAAGTAATTGTACACAAGTCAACTGAACAATCAAAACTGCCCCCAAGCATTTTCAAACACGGAGAGAGAAGTGCTTTGCCTTCTGGTTGAGACCTACTTAGGGAGTAAACTCTCTCTCCCCACTTGTTTATTCCTGTGTTCTCAGTCCACCATTATCCTAACACAGAGATAGTTTAACTAATGTCCTTAAAAGAAATGAATGAAGGAGAATGAATAAAACAATATGACTTTGTTACCAGACTTTGAATGCCACCATTATTTGTGCCTTTTGTTGTATGTGGTTCTATTATATTTCTAGAATGCCTCATTAAATTAAAAATAGTTCAGAGGGGAAACACTTACAGCGGTTATTGACTAGCATGAAGGTGGTGATTGTCAACTGTGACAAAGACCCTGGAGGAAGATAAACAGGACAAAGAGGATGGACATGGAATGGTGGTCAAGTCTAAAGTAAAAAATCCTAAGGCTTTGGTCTCAAATGGTGCCTCTGCTTACATCTCTGCATAAAAATAAAGTGGGTGTTGATGGGAGCACAGTGGAGGTACATCTCTTAATCTCTTGCCCTGCTCCCACATTATTTTAAAAGAAATTGAAAGTGAAGTTTATTTTGTATGTACTATCATTTTTCTTTGCTTTCTTTCTTACTGGGGTAAGTCACATCCTATATGTTCCTTTCTTAGTGATCACTCTTCATGAAATAATGAATCTGAAATTCTCTCCTTATCCATTAACCAAATTTCTTCTCATTTTATGAAAGCTCCTTCACCCAGCAACTTCAAATACATTTCTCCTAACCTTCTAGAAGTTAGTGATCTCAGGAACACTTTGGTTTTCTTTCCAATGCCCTCAAAACACTTTACTTTGAAGAACATATCTATTCTCATAGCCTCAACAGTGACAATTTGTCTTTATGCATCATCAGAATCCTCAAGTTCACAAAGTTTAATCCTGTAAAAATATTCTCCAAAGAAAGGGCAATTATAAAAATTTGTCTCCACTCAAACACTCCCCTCACTTAACACAATGTCTCTAGCCCATCTAGAAAAGTGAGGCAGTCAATATTCATTTATAATCACATGGAGACAACTATAAGCAATATAGTTGAAAATATAAGGGCAAATCTATTTCAGAGTAAAATCGCCTATCTAGTAAATAATACTTTTTTCCCTCTGGTATCCCCAGGTCTGAGTGTAAGACAACCCAAACCCCAGAAATAGGGATCTGCCCATTCAGCAAGCTTCCTCCCAAGGAAGCCCTTAATTCTACCTCTAACACTGAGATAAGGGACTGTATAAATCCCCTCCCTTTCTTCATCCTTCTGTTTTTCACACCCAGATCCCAGGCACTGCCCTAGTACTGGCAGAGGAGGCCCCTATGGGATCCCAACAAAAGGGAGAGTATTGGGGGGCATCTTGCATTCTAATAAGGAAAGTGGTGACTCCCTTGATTTTCACTCTCTCCTTCCAGCAGTTGGCCCTGGACATGGATATAATTACAAAAGCACACAGCAGAGCAGCTTTCTAGCCAAAGAGTAAAGGTGCAAAGTAACCTCACAAAATGATTCATAAACTCCTAAGTGTTGCCCCTCTCCCAGTCTGTGTACACATGGATGTAATCCTGATCATCATATCAAAGAACTGAAGGACTGTACAGACAGGCAGGTCACTGGCCACAGGCAGGCTCACCCTGGAGTGCCCACAGGGGACAGAACTGCAAGGGTTTTAAAAACTGAGCTGACACTGGAACTCTAGCCCACAGAAGGCAGGTGGAAGCTTGTAGCCTGGACCTAACCAGATCAATTGCCTGATAAAATAAAAATACGTGTGCATTCAATAGGACTTAAATGGGGTCAGCATCCTACAACGTAAGATATGAAATATGAAGTAATCAGTCAAAAAAACTCAGCATAGGAAAAGCCAGGAAACTCTCAATCACGTAGGGGAAGACAGTCTGCCTAAAGATGACACAGTGTTGTGCCACCCTGTGTTACCTCAAAATTGCTACACTGAAGCCTCATTCCAGGTCCCTCAGAGTGTGGCTGCATTTGGAAATCCACTGCTGGATCCACCCTCTTAAGGCCAGTGAGTGTGGGCCTTAATCCAACCTGGTGGAGTCCTTCTAAGTAGAGGAAATTTAGACACATGTAGATACACCAGGGAGGCTTGAGTTCAGAAGACAGACACAGAGAAGGAAGTGCAAAAGTCACACCGTGGACTCTACACAACTTCCAAACTGTTGATACAGGGAACACTGCCTGTCCTGGTGATGCCCACGGGACACGCCTTCTGCAGAGACGGTTCCAAGGAGTTTTTCATCCACAAGCTCAGAGCCAGGCTCTGGAAGAACCAGCTGGCCCTTCTGGGCAAGAAGTATTTCAAAGTTAACATTTATTATGAGTCTGTCATGGTTTTCAATATGTAAGTTCATTGACTCTTGATTCCAAGAGTGGAGTCTATACCGCTTCATCTTGAATGTAGACTGGACTGGTGACTGAAGGACACACTTCAATAAATTCAGGTAGTGTAGGTGATGTTTAAGAGGTGACTTTGGAGGTTAACTCATGAAAAAGACACATCCTGTGGGCCTCTCTCTCTCTCTTTTCATCTATCTCTTCTTCCCTCCCTCTCTGCAGGAAGACAGACACCATGCAAGGAGGCCATTCAAGCAGCCCTTGGGAGACACGTGCTGAGGCTACCCCCACAGCCAGCACCAGTGCGAGTGGCCAGGTCAGAGGGCCCCCATCCCAGTGAATTCTCCAGCCACAGCCAAACTTTCATTGACCGTAGGTCCAGCTATTATCTTCCTGCAGCCTCAAGAGAAACCCCAAGCTAGAACTACTGAGCCAAGCTGCTCCCACATTCCTGAGCCACAGACATGGTAAGGGCTGCTTGCCATTGATGACTGCTGCTCTCTGCACTACATTATGATGCATTGAATAGCGAATACAAAGCCCAGGTGCATCAGGCTTCATGTATGTTATCTTATTTAATCCTCATAAAGGTGAACATCTCATTTTCCAGATGAGCAGCCTACTGCTTGGAACTATCAAGGAATTTACCATATAGTCATGGAACTATTAATAGTTCACCCTCAGAACACACCAGGGAGGTCACAATACTGGGGATCAGACACCGGGGGACACGGGCATAGACATAGGTGGGTGGAGTGTTGATCAGAGGGAGAGGCTATCGAACAGAAGGGGGGTATTATCAGTTCAGCTGGAAGAAATGCAAGAGCTAAATTAGCCAATTCCGTAGAAACTCCAAAGGTCAGGTTGAATTTGGGTGGAAGGAGTAAGTTTTTGCATAAAGAAGAACAAAACAGGCTGAGACAAAGGCAGAACAATGGAATATACTCTTTTTCATGGCAAATGAGAGGGTAGCCAAGTACGCACGGGCATCAGTCAGAATGGAGTGAGAGTCTGCAGCACTGCCACAAGCTCATTTCCCAGCCCGGTTGCCCTGGCAATAGGATCCTGCCTTATGGTAATGATATTTAAATGAGAAAAGTGCATGCAAATGAAGTAACTGGTAATTTTATTGGTGCTGATCATTACATTCATCTAATAAGAACCACCTTATTAGGAGGCCTGAATGCACATTTGGGAAGGTTTTACCCCAGAAAAAGTACAGTACCCTAAAAGGGAACCTGGACACTATGACTCCTGGTGTAGGTTGTAGTCTCCCTGGAAGGTCTTCCAGATATCACCAAACCATGTTTTTACCCCCATAGGGGTACACGCCTGTCAGGAGTCAGTGTTAAGTTATCTTGCAATTTTTCTTGCCTGGTCCATTTTGCGTCAATGCTGAAGGAAATGCTGTAAGTCAGGGGCCCCAGCCTGGTCCATCACAGTCCCAGGGCCCTGCTGCTTGGCCAGCATTGCCTGCCTTGACCATATCTGCCCCATCTGAGGCTGCCCAGAAAGAGGAGCAATCTGTTGCCTGGAATTATCAAAGAATTTACTGCAAGGCTGGAGCTAGTTCACAGCTGAGGGGAATTCACCCTCAGGACATACCAGGGAGGGCACAAGACTGGGGTCAGCACAAGGCACACAGGCATGGAAACAGGTAGGTGCAGTGTTGATGAGAGAGGCTAGTGAACAGTAGAAGGGGGAGCATTCATTTCTTGGGGTGCTGTGACAGAGTGCCGTAAATGGGTTGTCTGCAAATAACAGAAATTAATCCTCTCAGAGTTCTGGGGGTTACTGGTCTGAAATTAAGGTGTTCGCAGGGCCATGCTCTGTCTGAAGGCTTGGAACTGTGGGGAGGGCCTCTTCATGACTCTTCCTAGCTTTTGGGAGAAGGCTGGCCATCCCCTGACTGCTTCTTCACATGTTCTCAGAGCCCTCATCATCTTGGCACCACCCAGAGTTGCTGTCTCCCTGTATTCCCTGAGATGCAGTGCTGTGGCTCTAGGTCAAACAGAGGTCAAACCCATGATGGTAATTGTGACATTTCCGAGCACTGGGAAGTGTAGTTCCCACCGAAATGGGATGTCACCTCAGTCAGACCACTGGGACGACATTTCTACTAAGTATTTAAAGTCTACATAGATGCTGGCATGGGGACACCTGAGTCTTCTTTACCTGTTATCATTTATACTCGGGTGAAGGCCCCTAAAAGCTCTGATATGTCAGATTT